ATTAAGGGCAAAGTAATCAAAAATTTACTTCTCTAAGGCTTGTCTGCGAACGACACTTCCTATAAGTAGTGTAAATTTCAGCTGGATAAAAAAATTTAAGTCAAAACCGATCAATAATCCCGGAACGAGTCAAAATCTTTCTTCCAGTTAAAAATATGAGGTCATTTAAACGGTTCTACAAGAAATAACAGCAGCTATGAAAGGAGGAAAATATTTCGTGATCTGCGAATAAACAGCATCGCAAGTTAAGAGGCCAATAAAAATAATAGGAATATATACCCATGTAAACAATCACATACAGCAAGTACAGTAGAACTTAGCGGGTCAAGAAAAAAGGAAAGGGCCATGATCCCCTGCTTTGGATTTAAAATAAAACTTAGGATTCTTGAGAAAATGATTCAGAAAGGAGTGGTTTGAGAATTTTGCGTTTGTATGAGAGCTGGTATAATATCTAAGGGTTCTTCCGTCCCCACACTACTCATTGAGGCTATCGAAGTGCAAGGAGCAGCCAAAGTCGATTCGGAAATATTTGTGGTTGAACTGGCAGAAGAGGTCGTCGTCAGGGTAAGGAGTTGTTTCGATATCCGAGGTGGAGGCGCCGAAGGTAGTCCAGCTTGAAAGACAGAATTGATATTTGCTTTCGTTTGATTAGCTGTACCGGTGAATGTCGTCGATGCAGGTGGCCGAGATGGGAAAATAGGTGAGGCATCCGCGGAAACTCTAGTGACCGACCGAAGAGGAATGGATAAGGCCGCGCCATCGTTGAATTCACAATCATGCGGTGCCTGAATAAGTTAAAAAAAGAATAAATGAGCTATGCAGAGATAGACAAACAGGACTAAATAGAAGTCTATAGAATGATTTGGTTAGCTCCTTTTCATGTCAAGTCATGCACGTAGAGTTAAATGCGCTTGTGTTTACGCAAGTTATGCAACGAAAATACCCGTCATAACTAAGAAGAGTGCAGTGGAGTTATCCTCGTTAAATGATCCAACGGAATGACTGCGATTGCGCGATCCCGTATACATCTGTGGTACAAATTTATGGCGACAGTCTGGGTCGGGAAGTTGTGTAATCTCTGACGCCTCTCAGTAAAGGCACAAAGAGATAAGTATGGAAGAGTAAGAGTACAAAATTGTTATATAGTCTAGATACTTTCTTATTTTGATTGAAAAAAGTTAAAGTAATAAAGTGGTTCAATATGGAATAATAAAAGGGGAATATGCAATATCTGGACTGGACTTATAAAGGGAACCAGAGTATGCCGGTTCTATTATGAATTTTGCTTTAAGCAATTATTACGAAATATAATTAGTAAGCTTAAAATCAATGGTCGTTTCAGGTATAAGGACTAAAGAGATTGAGTATGTATATGATTGGAAAAGATGAGGCATTTATTTTTCATTTATAACAAAGGGTTTATTGTTAGAATAAAATAGGACTTTAGGCTTGGCTGAAAATAGTATCCATTTACTAAGGAATAGACTTTTGGGCAAAGACTATTTATGCTAATGAGATGTATTCACCCTATTTCGTGTAAGGTGATGAAGGACTGGTAGTAGAATTTTCCCACAA